GATCAGAGTTTTTAAATCAGACTTGGTGATCGACCCAACCCAAGGCCCGGGTTTTGAGTTTTAACTAGGTCGTCTAAGTCAATTTTGATTTTTTTTAAAAAAAATTAAAACGATGTCATTTTAGTAAAAAAAAAAGTCAACGGGTTACAATCAGGTTTTTGATTGGGTTAGTCAGGCCACATCAGGTTTTGACTTTTTCTATTTTTTTATATACCCGACTCAATTCCAACTCTAGGGCAGTCGGGTCCCGAGTTTTAAAACTATGATTCAGGTTTAAAAACTATGGTTTTAATAAGATCGAAACTAGCTTGAGCAACATTATTCCACCTGAAACTCTTCCTTTAAACACTTGATTACAGGAGCAATTAATGTGCTAAAGTTTTTGATAAACTATTTAAAGAATGAAACCAAGTCATGAAAGCTTCTGATATCAAAAATTGTTTTTAAAGTTGGCTCGCTCAAAATTACATACACCTTGCATGAGTCAATTTTGATTCACGTGTTAAAAATAATATAGCAAAGAAAAACAATATTATCAAAAAAGAAAATGACACTTTCTATAGTTGATAAAGAAGTGATGCTTCTTAAAGTGTCAAAAAAACTTATTTAAATGCTCTATGCTTTTGATTAAACCTATTATACATAAACATGTCATTGAAATTAATCACTATAAACTTCCCTAAAAAAGCTAAAATACATGTATTATTAATTTCATAAATGTACTTGGATCATTTTATAAACCAAATGGAATGAGTAGTCATTCATATAAACTTTTATTGGTTTTAAAAATAATTTTTTATTTATTTCCTATCCTCGTTCATATACGAGGATACACATTTTTTAGATCCATATTGGTGAAGACTTTGGCTTTATACAACTAATCAAATAGATAATAAAGTCTTGAAATAAAGAATCAATATTTGATTGTGATTTTGATGATTGTTTTATTATCCATTCGCCTACACTATGTTCTATCTTTTTTTGACACAAGTAAGGCTAATATAAGATAAGGGCTCATGTTCTTTCTAATTAGTTCCCTAACCATCAACTTTTCCACTTGTTTTTGTAATTTAGCTTGGTGAGTTGGGTTCATAATAAAACTCTAAGTATAAAGTTTATATAATGTTGAATTTATTATATGGGTAGTAAACTTAAAAAAATCTCTTAAGAAATAACATTTTCAAACTTTTTCAACAATGGTTAAATAAGCTAATTATAATTATTTAAAATAGTTTTATTTTCTTCTGTAATCAACAATATAAATTTTTTTTTTTATAAATGATACTTTCAAATTAAGAAGTGGTTAGGAATGAATTGCATTTCCTTATCTTAATATGTTCCTTGCCTCCTTAGCCATATTTCTTTATTCTTAAAGAATAACTTATATTTAAATTCAAATGCTAAATGTTGATGTGGTATAATAAGGGGGATCAATTGATAGTATCTTTCTTATAATCTAAGACTAAGTGATATTTAATTATATTTATATAATAATTTTTCCTTTGATTTTTTGTCATTTTTTTTCCTTGCAATGTCATCTTTTTATTAGTTGTTTTCTTCTTTTCTTTTGAATTTTAGTAAATTTTTAACAAATTTTTATGATTTTTTTTATATAATATGATTTAATTTTAAAAAGTATGACTTCAATATTTTTTTTAATGTTAGAAAACATTCTTTCTTTATAGCGATACTTAATTTTTTTTCACTTTAATTTTATTCAATCACTTTCCTATCCATAATTTTTTTTTATTATTTTATTCAATAAAACACTCTTTTCAAGAAACAACGTTTTTACATACAATCAAGTCTATAGCTCGTGTTTTGAGATTAAATGTCTATATCCACATCTATCTCGTAATTTTTTAATTTAATCTTTGATTATATATCATTTATTTTTTACTTAGTTTTCATATAAAATTATAATATTTTTTTTCCTTAATATATATAGCATTGCATAATATTTTTTTCTTTAATTTTATTTAATCGCTTTTATATGTGTGTTTGTTTTTATTATTATTTGATTAAATAAAAAATTATTTCAAGAAATAAAGTTATTAAAAACAATTGTGTATATTATCCATGTTGCGGGATTAATTTTCTTATTCTATATTTATTTTTTTATTTTTCAGTTTAGTTTTTTTTTTTTTACATTGTGTGATTGGATAAATAATTTATTCTAGAAAAAACAATTATTAAATATAATTTTATATATAACTTGTGTTGAGAGATTAAGTATCTTAATTTATATTTATTTTTTAATTTTTTTAGTTTAGTTTTTATTATTAACTTTTATTTTTGTTAGCATCAATAATTTTTAAATTATTTAATGTAGTTTAGTCTTTATTATTAACTTTTATTTTTATTAGCATCAATAATTTTTAAATTATTTAATTAGATACATAAATTTTTTTAATTAAGAATTTTTTATAGATAAAAACACGTTAAAAAAACTTATACATTTATATTTTTTATTAAAAAATAAAATTATTCGAGATCAAATAACTAGTATACAAATTCGGAAGTAATGAAGGTAAGCAGAAAGGATGCATTAAGAAAATTAATTGATAAAGGATCACAAACTGAAAGACAATTAATTAATAACGGATCACATTAAATTGTCGATTGATTATCGCTCGCGCTCTCTCTCTCTCGGCTTGCAGGGAAGAAAAGAAAGAAACCGGAATTTTCCAGAAAACCCTAAAATGGCAGGGAGAAATCGCATCCCTCGTGAACTTTATAACGACAGGCGGGGATTCATCGTTGAACGACCATTCATTCGTGGCCATCCGATGCCACAGCCTGCTTTCTTGGAGGAGGAGCTGGAGATGCAACATGCTGAAATCCGACGCCTCTTGGGTGATAACCGTAGGCTGATCGAAGATCGTATGGGTCTGCAGCAGGAGCTTGGCGCTGCAAAGGAAGAGCTTCATCGAATGAATATTGTGATTGCTGAAATTCGTGCAGAACAAGATGTGCTTATCAAGAAGGGATTGAAGCTTGAGGCTGATCTTCGTGTGACTGAGCCTTTGAAGAATGAGACTGTTCAACTCCGTGCGGAGATTCAGAAGCTGAGTAGTTCGAAGCAGGAACTGGTTGGGCAAGTCCAAACCTTGAAACAAGATGTGGCGAGACTGCAATCTGATAATCACCAGATTCCTCTTTTACGGGGTGAGATTGAGGGCTTGCACCAGGAGCTAATGCATACTAGGTTGGTTGGATTGCCTTGGTTGTTTGTGGTTGGATTGCCTATTTCTTTCTTCAATTGTGATTTTTTTTTTGTAGAGCTGCAATTGAATATGAAAAGAAGGCCAACATTGAGTTGGTGGAGCAGAGACAATCAATGGAGAAGAATTTGGTTTCCATGGCACGTGAAGTTGAAAAGCTACGTGTAGAGCTTTCTAGTTCTGATAATCGACCACCCTGGAGTGCTTCTGCTGGTATACTGTCTTGTATGTTTGTTATTGTTTAGTTTAGCTGTTAACTGATGTGTTGAATTCTTATACTTGTTCTGTGTTTCTTTCAACTTTCCTCCTCATTTTGTCAATATTGGAGCTTAATGTGCCAGCTTAACAAAAGTCGAGATTAGTTCCTATTTCTGATTGTGATGGCGAGAGTCATCTACCCTCTCCTGCCAGTGCATCTATCATATAATTGACTTCCTGTCCACATGGGAGTTGAGATTGACTATGTCAAGCCTTCTTGCTGTTCTGCACATCCTTATCCTGTCTTTCTCACAGATTTTTGCTCATTCTTCATCAACTTAGCTGAAATCTTTAGTACATTTTCCTTGTTTGGTTGGTGCCAGCACTATAGCTTTGCTTCTAATCTCCTCAATTTGATCTGTTTTGGTGGAAGGTGGATCATATGGGATGAAGTTTGGTATTCCAGAAGGGGCTTTTCCTCCTCCATATGGGGATGGGTATGCAGTTCATCTGGTAGGTGCGCTCGTATAATTAGGAATTAGGTTTGTGTTTTTAGTGATTACCAAGTTGAATGCTCTTTTTTTTTTTTTTGAAAAAAAAAAACTTACTTTGTTGCTCAGGGTGCTGCTGACAAGGGTCCTTTCTATGGCCCTCGTCCTGCTTCATGGGAGAAGCCCCGCATGCCTCGTCGTTGAGATGGTTCTGTTCAAATCCAAGAAGTGCAAAGTTGTTGCTCTGGCTGCCTGTTCCTGCCAATATCTCAATAGTCGAGGAGTGTCTTTCATCTATATGTGTATGATGAACCAGTAGTCTTTTATTGATCAACTTTTCTAGCTATTCTAAAATGCTTTTTCATAGGAATTTGTTACTGCTTTATTTAATTAGTAGAAACCTTGGTTTCCATTACATAATATAATGTTAATTTTCAATGTTGTGACTGCCCTTTTTAGCTTTAAGTATCGATGTAAATCATCTCTTCTGACTGAGCTGGGTGAAGGCTAGAAACAATTTTGTTTGATATTAGTTGCTAGGGAATCAATGAAGTAATGCCTGGAGGCATATAAGTAGTGGGATTACATAAGTGCAGCCAATTCTTTTGGTCGATCAAAATGTAGATTTTGAAGCTTAGAGTTTTGCATTTGCAATGTGTTCAAGGTGCTATAGGTTAGCGGGTTTGCTGTTTATTATACATGACAGGACAATTTATTCCTTAGGTCCAAGGTATTTATGGTGTGGTTTGCTGTATAAGGATATGTTCTGAATGCATGTCATTCTGTGCAGTATGACTAGGACAAGAGATTTTGTATATCATTGGATATTCTGCACATAATTAAGTAATTTTCTGTTGGTATATGATTGGAGATCATGCTGTTCCTTTCTGGCACATAAGGAGATAGAAAGTCCTTGTAATGTATCTGCGTCAATAGTGCAATCATTCCATTGTCGTAGTTTCTCTTATGAGATACGGAGCTTAATCATGCGGTATAGGAGTTGCAGAATACAATACTATTTGAGAATGAATGCTTGTTTAATAGCACCATGGTTACAACTGAGTTGTTCTGCTCTAGACATTCCTTCAGGCAAGAAGCTTGGGATTTCATGAATTTGAGATGGAATTGTTCAGGTTCTCATGATTGATAGAAAATTTTCTCGAGTTATCTCTTACATGGTTTTATATGCTTCTATTCATGTTTAGTTTACAATTGAAGCTGACTGTTTGGTCCCCCACAACTCCATATGAAGTGTTTAGCAGTATGGATTACTGCTATAGAGTGGCTTTTGAAGATTGACTTTTGCTAATGTTGTAGGGTTGTAGCTTAGAGCATGTGTGTAGGGATTTTCTTTGATGTGCTCGTTCTGTTTTTATACTCTATTTACTAGGCCCTGTCATTTTTTATTTTTTATTTTTTGGTGTGGAGGATACACCATAGGGTCTTGGTTTTCATTTTGGTGGTTCATGATTGGAGCTATTTCGGAAAAAGGAAAAGTTCTGATCTCATATTAGAGGGTTTAGATTGTCAAGTTGACACTTGACAGGTATGATGTGGTTAGCCATTCTAATGCTTCCCATTTTGATTGGATTTGATTAGTGACTGGAGGTGGCTGTGTGGAGATAGAATTGGTGCAGCTTGTAGAAAGGTATAGTATATTTTTTGGATTCTTGGATGGACTTATTGGAATTTATGCATCACATTTTTCAGCACTTCAAAAATGTGTGTGGAAATTGGATGGTGACATCCCATGACTTGAATCTTGGATGGAAGTGATTGCCAATTTCCTCCCTGATCAAAATTTTCCTAGCTTTCATCCTATCCATGGCCATGCGACATTGTTACAACCCTTATTTCAGCACATGCGAATTTGTTCTGCAACACCATTTAGTCAAATATAATATGGTTGCCTCCATGGATACCAAGTCACTTCTTCATGCATCAAGATAAAGCATGGAATTCCTGAAGGAAATGGGCATGTAGTGTTACAACTTACAAGGGGCTGGCAGCTATACGCGTCCTAGGCAGGTATTCTGCTTCTGTTATGAGTTTCATGGATCTAAATTCTAAAGTCTTTCTTTAAAGCTAATTTTGGTGACTTCTATTCTTCCTACTTGCTGTCATTATTTATTTGTTAATACGTAATGATTAGTTTAGATCTATGTAAGAGTGTGTCGTTCAAATGGGCTGTAGGTGTCCAAGTTCTCATCTTGTTGCAGTTCATCTGTACAAGTTGAACCCTTTTCTCCTCAGTTACATCCTTGCCAAGTAATTTTTTGGCGCATAGATATGAATTTTGCAGTTGAACCAGTATAGATATGTTAAGTTGGTGTTCAAAATGCTACAAGGTGGATGACTGTCCCACTCATGTCAGAGAAATTGCAGAAGTGACTGTCCCACTTATGTCAGAGAAATTGCAGAAGAGCAAGATAGCCTCTAAAATTTTACCTGAGGATGGCATGAGATGATATTTGGCTGGCTAAATTATTGTATTGCTGAATATATTGGAGGTTGTGATTGTTGCCTCTTGATGTTACTTATTGAGACATTAATGAGGACTGGGTATGAGTAGATGTGTTTGTAATATCAGGATAGGTTTTTGGACTATACTAGGTAGTATGCTGAAGGTAGTAGAGGTGGGCTAAAGAGATCTTGGGTTGATGTTGATGTCCTTCAAATCATGTCTATTTGTATAGAGCCATGAGATAATTCTAGTAATTGAACAAGTATATAGGAACCAGCTTCTGTTGGTTTGTGTAGATGAAATGGCTGTATAGATAATAATCACAACCATTCTTTTGGTATGGCATGGCATATTTTGGTGGCCTTACTTTAATATGAGTGTAACAAACTGCGTGTTTTATAACCCATGCTGACTCCTATCAACTTAGATGAATATCTTCTTAACTTATAACCTATTACCTTGTTACAGTTTTTGCTTTTTGATTCAAAGAAGATGCTAATCATAGTCAGCTTCTTGTATAAATTGGACTGTTAGCACCTGCAATGTTAGTTTATTAGCCTCTTAACTATCTTGGTGGTCTTACTTTAGGGCTTTTTATGTCCGGAACGGTGAGTTAAGGCAAAGATGTCTTTGGTTCAAAGGACATCTCAGGTTTTTCTGTCAGGTGTAAGCTCCAAAGGAGTCATCTGAACGAGAGTAGGTTCAGGGAATTAGCTTTTCTGTTCAAAGAAGATGCTAAGCATAGTCAGCTTCTTGTAGAAATTGGACTATTATTAGCCTTTTGTTATCTTAGAGCTTGTTATGTGATATAGGTTCTGTGAGAAGTTTACCTGAAGTAGGGTTCTGGCATAACATGAAATTTATCAGTCTTGTGAAATGGTGATTGCATTTTTGTCAGGATAGGCATTTCTGCACCTAGTTGTTGAGAATTATGTCAACAATTCAAAGAAAAATCAGATTCATAGCTATGACAGTTGCTAGTTTCTTTTTTCCCTGTATCTACGGTCATTTTAGGTAAATGTAACTATTGAACATTATGAGGCATGGTGGGCGAAGGCGAAGAGTTGTTGATTCAAAGGATACCTCACGTTTTTCTTTGTCTGGTGAAAGCACCAAAGGAGTCAACTAAATGAGAGTAGGTTCAGTGAAACAGCCTTTGACATAAATTAAAACTGGCTAGTATGATTGTGGACTCAGAGATGGGTGTGAAATGTAGTTCCTAGGCTGCACAATGTATCTTTTCATCTGTTTTCTAGTTGATAATTTATCATTGAAGCTTTTCTAAGATTAATTTTCTTGCGCACAATTTTTTTGTATGTTGCTCTTGTATCACTTGACATTAACAAATTTGGGATAACTTTTAATTTATACTATCTTAATGTTCTGCAGATGAAAGACTGATTCTTAGTGTGACAAAGGTTAAGAATGTTTTTGAATATCTTTGGTACTAGTCACTTCCCTCCCAGCCCGTCAGGAAGTTTGAAAATGCAATGCCAATCAGGGAGGTACCATGGAGACTAAAGCATCATGGTGGAGAAGAAGTCAGGTATATGTCTTCTGTGGTTGTTCTCTTTTGAGTTTTAAACGGGCTAAAATAATGCCATGCTTCTAGAATGATTTAAAAATAGAAAGAGCAGTCATCTGTTTTTTTATGCAACAAAACGGATGGGTAAAATCAAAATAATGTTGTATTTTAATGTGTTTATTCCAATAATATTTTCTAAGTCACCTATATTGTAGATGAAACCAACAAATAACTTTAATGTAAAACAAGCATGCTACTCAAAACAGATGCCCTTCCATGCAGTTTTATATTCAATGAGCCAAAAATGGTGACTTACAGGATTTATTTTGTTTTTGAATGGGCAGGGGTTCCCAGTCTTGTAGATGTTTAATGGTTTTTGAAACCATCAACTGTTAATTTCATCTAAAAAAACCTGCATGAAAAGAGAAGGAAGGTTTAAGCTACAATCTGCTAAAGCATGCACTAATCCCTCCCAATATGATTTGTGCAGACAATTTTTGAGCATTGGAATGATGTAACTTGCTCATTGACATTTAGAAATTAGAATGATCTAAATTACAGTTTCTAGTTTGTGCTCAACTTTAGATCAATTTAGTTATAGCTTTGCTTCCCATTGTTTTATACATCGTAGCAGTAACTACTCACGAGCATGGGGCTGGTTTGAAGTTATGGCATTCGCAGATACATTCTCATATTTTTGTTTTAATGGATTTTGGCGTGCTTCATCTTGCACCTAATTGTGATCAGTTAGGCTCTGGCATTATAGCTTTTTCAACGTTCAACTTATTTATGTATTGCAATGAGAATTTCGTTTATTTTAACCGATGAGGAACTGGTGGGCAGTAACTCTAGTGGAATGGTGAGATCATCACAGGAAATACATGGCCAGGCCTTCTTTGAAATATAATCCTTTTCCTCCTTTTCTACATTATGTTGTCTTGTTATCCGATACATGAAGTGAATCTCTTGTTGCCTCGTATTCATTCTCAGGTGAAGGAGAGGAGAAGGGAGAAGGGAATCCTCGTGGGGAGTGTCCTGCTCTAACAAGTTATACTATCATTGAATCTAGTCAAATACTTCATTTCGTTCTTCTTCAAGAAATTAGCTCTTTAACAGCTCCAGGTTGGACAGAGGCAGCCAGCAGGAATCAAAAGCAACCTCTCCAGAACCTGGCACATAATTTGGTCGAGAATAATTATTGATGCTAAAAATTAACTTTTAATGTATTTTTTTTATGATTTTAATGCATTGATGTTACAAATAAAAAAATAAAACTAAAAAAAATATTTTAATGTATTATTAAATGAAAATTATTTTGAAAAGCAAAGTTTGAAGTCATGGTGGAGTAGTAGAGGTTAGCAAAAAAATTGAAAAATTAATTAAACTGAGAAAATTAAAAAAAAAAAACTTAAAAAACTAAATTGGGAAAAAATTGATTAAATAGATTATAATTTTAAAAAAATTAATTGGTTTGATTTGATTTTGATTTTATAAGCTTGAAATTAAAAAGCTAAAATTAATCAAATCTAAACTGAAAAAAACTGAGCTAAATAAAAAACTGAGTTAAATAAATTTTTTTTGACTGAAATTACATAAAAATTATTGAGCTAAATAAATAAAAAAAAACTGAGTTAAATAATTTTTTTTTGACTGAAATTACATAAAAATTAAGCTAAACTAGTTTGAATTGTTTTTTTTTAAAAAATAATCAAATTGAAAATTGATTTTGATTTAATTTTGAATTTTTTTAGTAAAATCAATTTTAATTGTTTTAAATAATCAAATTGAAAATGATTGCTTTGAATTGATTTTGATTTAATTTTGATTTTTTTTTAGTAAAATCAATTTTAATTGTTATTATTATTATTATTATTATTATAATCAAAATTTTGATATTTTTTTAGTAAAATCAATTTTAATTGTTATTATTATTATTGACAAAAATCAAATGGAACAAAAAATAATCATCACTGTGGTGGAGTAACAGAAAATAGCGTTTGTCAGTTTTGCAAATGTTTTTTACGTATCAAAGTAAATATAAAATAATGTCCAATTATTCTTTCAAGTTCATAAAATTTGACAATAATACATGTTAAAGGCAAGTGTAAGATAATTTTTTAAAGATTTTATTTTATCTTATCAATTATTCTTTAAATAAAATATTAAGATAATTATATGTTATTGTCAAACACTTTCTTCTTCTGTTTTGTCTCATATTTCAATTGCTTGTCTTTTTCACCCTAAGATACTAATCAAACTCTACCATTTATATTTGCATTGCTACCGCTTGGGGGACTAATAGTGCCAAATTAGGTTTCTATTGGTTAATAACTTCTGCATGTGGCTAATTTTTCTTTTCCCTTTTCACCTGCAACATTTGGGTTATTGTTATGCTGAAATTCAGGAATACGAGCACCACTACCAAAACATCTGGATAAATAACAACTATAACACTTAAGATCAATGACCTCAATAATTATTACTGAATACAACATGTAGTATTAATTTTATTCATGTAAAATATATTTATTATTAATAATTTTTTTAATTTTAATATTCAAATTATATTTTATTAGTGTATCAAAAATAAATATAAAGTTTGTGGAATAATAATGTTTTAAATAAAAAATTATAAAAATTATTATAATTATAGAATTTTTAATGTATTAAAACATTACTTCTAATTAATTCTCTTTTAAAATTTAATATTAATTACAGCTGTTGATATTGATATATATTATATTTTTTTATAAACTAAAAAAGTAAATGTTTTTATAAAATATATAGGTTAATCAAAATAATATATTTAATTTTCAGATAATCTTCATATAAATTTTAAATAATACTAGATTTGTTCATAAAATTCTTGAAACTATTTATAATATTTGCATGTATTCCAAAAAAGCAACATGGGACAAATTGACAATGAGTTACAGGAAGGCATGCCATGGGTTTGACCTTCTTGCGATTCCAGTCATGCCATTACCATCCAATTAAAACTCAAGTCACTCTTGTTAAGGCAACATTACAATAAACAGGTTCCAAGCAAAATCCAAATTCTGTTGCCAGCTGAAAGCGTTCTTGAATAGTGATCTTGCATTTAAAGCCTTGCCAGACGTGTTTCAGCTTCTGACCTCGTCAAAAATTGGCAGCAACGACACTCAGTCCTCAACTTCTGTTTTGAAAATAAAACTGGGAAACATTGTGGTGATGTCCCTGCAAAGTGAGTTCACACAAACACCGTATGAGTGATGGCCTTTCAAAGTACAGATTAAGAAGTGCAGAAGCTCATTCAGACCCATATGTTCCATATGTGAGATCCCTTTGCACAATCAAGGACGTCAATTTGAAAAGAGAAATCAGGAAAGATCCTTTCAAACATGGAAATTTTACTTCATTCCACAGGTGCTCTTTCCTGACTAGAATCAATGTTGGGGTTTAAGCACAACAATCATTACCAAACAGATGAAAATCAATGCCGACGGATGCTAAGCAAAACAGTTATCTAGCTAAAACTGAACTCGGTAGCAGAGAGAAATCATTGTCTTAGCAAAAATGAGAAGGGGATGAGGAGGCAGGTTACCTTAAATAAGGTAGTGTCATATTTTTCAAGAGGTTTGGGTGCTGAGTAGCAAATGCCTTCCATTCTACTTTGTTAATTTTACCATCCTTGTCAGCATCAGCATCTGCAAATGTCTGGGATATGTATGGAAGCCAACACTGTGAATGTCAAAAGCTTTGAAAGGAAAGAGGAAAGGAGTGGAACTGAAAGAAGCACAGAAGGAACAAATTTTAGCTTAGAAACCAGCATTCTTTACGTTGTCAATGATAACTTCAAGACTTTCCTCTGAGATCTGCAACCCAGACTCCAACAAAATAGCATTTAACATCTGCCGGACCTGAAAACTACCTTTTAGTGGCTGATCAACACATGAAAGAAAAGTATTATATGCACATGTTTGTGATTTTGATGTAGCAATTTGGCTAGTCATAATAGAAACATAGGGATACTCACTTCTTCCCGCTCGATAAAACCAGTCTGTCTCAAATCATACAACCTAAATGCGACTGCATGAAACCATAGGAAGAAAGAAACCAATGGTTTTTAACAAGAAAATCTAACCTCTAATCACATAAAGTAAACAGCTAAAGAAGGCTGCATTATTCGCAAAAACACTCACAATCAATTTTAGCCTCCATGGGAGCGCGAGGATGAAAAACACTGAGTGCACGGGCAAATTCTTCAAATTCAATTGCCCCATTTTTCTTCTCATCGAAAAGAGCAAATAACTAGAAGAAATGGTGAGGTATGAGCTCATGAGTTATAAATCCAAAGGAAAGATGATCGAAAGTCATGCGCTGGGTGGATAAAAAAGAAAGAAAGAAGAAGCAATATCTGCAGCCTAAGAGCTAGGGTATTCCTGATGCAAACTAGTTTAAGATTGTAAAAGAAAAAAACTGACGATGCTTGATACCATGTTCAGTATCATATGGGAATAGAGCTCTATCAATGAGTTCTTTGATGCACATATATATCAACCCCATGATCCAAAATGCCACATAAGTTACTGAAATGCATTCTTGTGGCTAGCAACATGATTAGATTGGTGATCTTATTTCCCAACAATCATATGAAATGGACGAACATTGCATAAAATTTGAAAAAAGAGTTATAGGCTGGCACACTGAATCTACCCTGTCCAAGATGAGGTTGTCACTAGCTGGAGTTTTCAGCAGGGCCAATTTGAGGTCGTCCTTCAAATCACAAAGGAAACAAGGATAAGTTCAGTATATTAATTGACTTCTACAGTGATTATAATTGCCCAAAACCTGTTCTTTTTTTTTTTTCATCCTATCTCTATTATTATTTGCGAAGGAAATTGTACTTCTCTAAACTAGCATTTCAAATTAGCTCAAACCTCTTCAAATCTATCTCAATTAAGCACAGTACTAAGACATTAAATTCAACAAAGAAATCCCATAGGAATTAAGAAAAATCAGAACAAAAACGCCTGCATATACAGGAAAGAAAAGAGGAAGAGATTTCATTTACTTTGTGTATAAGGCCATCATCAATAATAGAATTGCTCAACTTCTTGAACAACTCAAGCAATGCCTCAACTTCATTGACTGTAACTGCAATATCACCAGCACCAACAAACACACAACGTCAAAAACTAAAAACCATAACCATAAGTTCTTGACAAATTGGAAAAGAGAAAAACATACAGAGAGAGTTGCTAGCTATCCTACGGAGGTCATCAATGGTGTATTGGAGCTTCTTGGGAGGAAGGTGGTGGTCAAAGCAAGCAGTAAAACTCAATACCACAGCCTGTATAATACCGATTAAAGGTATAAACACAGCACAGATTCTTTCACTTATTTCCAAAGAGCTTGAGCTCCTGTCCATTCACAGACACACAGACACACACACACACACACACAAAGAGCACTCCACTTGATAAGAAATTGGATAAGTCTATATCATTAATGTGATTATATGAACGTTTATCTCCTGGCTTCCTTGTCTTTTCTTTTCTTCCTTTGGTATCAGAGTCACCAAACAGAGTGAAAGGGAGTGTAGAATTCTTCCTGTCTTTTCTTTTCTTCCTTTGGTATCAAGAGTCACCAAATAGAGTGAAAGGGAGTGTAGAATTCTTCTTCTTCTTCTTCTTCTTTTTTTTTTTTTTTTCCTGGGAAAGAAAACAGTGCAATAGATAATGGGACACAGGCACAGATGCTGATTATTTGGCAATCATAAACTCCAACAGTGTTCTCCAACTATGAACCACGTAATTAAGATTATGTAATAGCTAATTGTATCGTGACAATGTCAGAACGATGACATCAATGCTGTCTTAGTGATTTTTACCTTTTTTAAGTCCAACAAATATATATATATATATATATGTGTGTGTGTGTGTGTGTGTATGTATATATTGTTGTTACATTTAATCAGAGCAAATCAACAACACATAAATTAATGTTAATGGTTTATTGATAATTTGATATTCCAATACATTA